CAAGACTGAGCTATCAAGAACAAGACTATGACCAAGACTTTGACAGTCTTGGTCTTGTTCTTGTTTTGCTCATCACTATATGCGAAGATTTTTACCAACCATGTTCGTCTTTTCGGTTCGTTTGATTTTAAATTACCTGTTGTTGACTATTAATAAACGAAACCATTGTCCACTACTTTATTTCATTATCAATTGAAAAAAAACGGACCAGTGAGATCTTAAAAAAGTATATTTATGTGTCCGTCGACATTTAATTAATGTGATAGTTGTAGCGTTACACTTAATATTTGTTATCGTCTTTTTAGTTACAAAAAGTTCTTTTGAAGTGCCCATTTATTACGGTAACATTATTTTGAGATATTTTTCTAAATTGCTAGAATCAATGGATTTTTTTCAATATTTGGTGATCATAAGTTCAACATGATTAATATCGTGTTCTTTTGACGTACTGATAATTAAAATTGGTCAAGTAAAAGCTGAAAAATAAATGAATGATAAACAAAATATCCATCTCAAAAAAGAATCAAGCAAAAAATGAAAAAAATAGTTATTACGTCTGGTGGAAGTTGAACTTCGTACTTCGGGTGTATAAGTCTATACAGCATATGACTATGTCGCAATGCACTACATGTATACTAGTTAAAAAATTCCAAGTGGCTTTTCTTAACTTTGAGGAGGTAAAATAATCAAAATAAGTTTGAATTTATTTTTAATGTAAGTTAAAAAATTTCAAAAATTACTATTTTTTATAATTGTAATTTTTTTGAGATTTCCCTCATTTACGGGAAATGAGAGAAATTTTTTCAAGTTTTAAGTGAATATCTTCAACTAAAAACAATTTGTGATATGTTGGCGAATCGTTGAAAGAAATTGGTCCAATTAGAGTTTAAACAAAGTAGTAACAGACACAAAAATAAAACACATAGGTACATTGTAAAATTAATACATTCATAGTTTCGCATGGAAGCTAAAATATTAATACCGTTAATGACAAATATAAAAAAACTATAGCCAGACATTAGGCGATTTCACAATGAATAACTCGACTATAACTTGTTTCTTTATATTCTTTTACTCTATTTTATTATTTTGAAGGAATTAAAGTAATGATTTAATATTATCTTAAATCTTTTAATACACTATATATTTTCGTTATAAATATTTAAAACAAAATAATTATAAAACTAATATTTTTATTTCATAAAAATAAACAATTAATTTAAAAAAAAGTATCTTATTATATTTTTAAAGTATCATATTATATTTCTATAAAATTTAACAAATTTGGTGAAAACATTAGAAAAATAATATCAAGATCAACTGTAAATAAATATATATAAATATTATAGTAATTTCATTTAATTATATGATGCATTTATGAACAAAATAACTATATAATCATATTTATCCATAGTTTTATAGGAGTAAATAATACCAATGATTGGAAATTGCTAGTTAATAAAAATATTTTTAGATAAAATTATAAAAATTCTCGAATTTGTGATATTTTAATTAGCTAGTAAAGATATTTAAAGTTTGATGTTATATTTTTTAAAACACAAACGAATAAATATAATTATTTTAACCGGGTAAATTTATTATGAATGAATGAAACACACTGTTAATAATTTTTAAAACTAAGAACGTATCAACAATTTATGACGTGGTTTATTTTAAATTACATAGTACGCTAACACTTAATAAACCATTTATATTTTCAATGAGAAATAGTTTTTATAATTTTATCAAAATTTAATTGCGTGGTATACGTATTTTAAAATAATAACAGTGTTTTTAATAATAACGAAATAAATCTTCTACCGCCTAATAGAAATGAATTATTCTACTGCATTCATATTTTTCTTATTATCTTTAGCAACTAATGGACAGCCAGAAATAAAAGGTAAAAAATTTACAATTAAATTTTTAAACTCATTTTTACAAAGTAGCAAATGGAGAATTGCACAAAGGACAATGATAGACTACAAAAAAAATGAGGAAAAAATTCGTACTGATGAACTATTGATTGATGAAAAAAATTGTTATAGAGGAGCCATTGTCGATAATAACAATGTCGAAGATAAACTAAGAAAAACAATATTACTTGTTAATATAGAGTACAGTGTTAGTTTTGCATGGATCGTGTATCATTTAAATGAAATAAATTGTGACTGTAGTTATTATAGAGATACACTATATTTCCCACGTTGTGTAGAATTAATAAAATCAAGTATTGCCATTTCTAAACATATTATAATACGTTTTATCAGTGCAATAAATTTCCTAATGACTTTGTTAGATATTGATACCAAACCATCTATTTTAGATATCTTACAAAATTTTATTACACTGGTAAACCAAGTAAAACATGACGAAAAGAACGACAACACAATTATGAAGAGTATTGATGATGCATTTCGTTTCAAATTCACTTACGAGAAAAATGTATATGAAGTTCTCAAAAGTCAAAGTATTAATAAAAATGATCTTGATTTTTTCAATCCAGTATTATATGAAATTGACATAAATTTAAATAAAGAATATGAAAATTACACTTACTTTGAGTATATAGAAATGCACTTAAGAAATTATATTGAGTATAACATTAATAGACTGTACAATAATCTTGGCTTTTCATATAATGAAGAAACAAAAATTACTTCTTATGTATACAATTGGGAACAATAAACTGATTTTATATAAATTTTATTATATAATAATTAAATATAGGTATCCGTAAATATTTTATATACATTATATAACATATTTCAAATAAATTTAAATAATTCAGTCATTCAGTTAATTTTTTTTATGGTGTAACATGATTTTTATTTCAATGAATATTATTTTTTTAACCGAGTAAATTTATTATAAATGAATGAAACATACTGTTAATCATTTTTAAAACTAAGAACGTATCAATAATTTGTGACGTGGTTTATTTTACATTTTATTGCACGCAATCACTTAATAAACTAGTAATATATTCAATGAGAAAAAGTTTTTATATTTTTTTCAAAATTTAATTGCGTGATATACGTATTTTAAGATAATAACAGTGTTTTTAATAATTACAAAATAATTCTTCTATTACATAATAAAAAAGGAAATATTCTAGTATATTCATATTTGTCTTATTATCTAATACAACTATCGTACCGCCCAAATAATAGCTAAAACATTTACAATTAAATTTTTAAATTCATTTTTACAAATTAGAAAGTGGGACATTGCAAATAGGCCAGTGACAGTCTACTAAAACAGAGATATATTTAGTTCTAATGGACTATTGTTTGATAAAAAAAATTTTTATGAAGAAACCATCGTTAATTATTAGATATATTTAATTCTCAATTTTTTTAAAAATTTCTTTAAAACTTTCAAAATTCTTCAAATTATATTTTTACTTTCAAATTTTCTAATACTCCTTTTATTTATATCAGTATTTAAATTATTTTTTTTTTTTTATTTCAATAATAATAAATCAGCTCATAATTTTTTATTTAAGTAAGTCAAAGGTATAAAGTTTTTATAATTTTAATGCTTTAATTTTTCTGAGTAATTTTTATAAATCCCTTAGTAGAATTTAACTAAGCCTGTTGTTGAGCGCCACTTTGTAATAATACAAAAATAAAGAAGGAAAAACCCAACCCAATGGACTATAGTGATATGGGAGTTGTAGAGTCCGAGGGCTTAGAACAATAAAGGCAAGTAGATGTAAAAAGAAATAATTAAGGTTCCTCTTATGGAGATATTATAAATGACCCAACTGGTAAGTATCTGAAATAATAGACTGAGGCAACGAAGAGGCGGTGACCATCTCATGAATACCATGTAATGCGATTATGTATAAGGTACGAACTAGTCAGTAATAATTAATTGAAGTTTAGAGATTAATATAATTATTTAATCTATTGCTTTATCGTTCTGTACTCAGATTATTAATTCTAAATAATTGAGTTATAAGATAATATAAGTATTGACTCTTATTGATTTGAAATCTTACCTGATGATTTTTCTTTGTTCTTATAATAACTTTTAATTGTATCAAGTAATAATAAAATAACACGAACTCAAATGTTTAGTTCATAAATTCACACGTAAGAATTTCGACGATGATGATTACGAACTTAACGTATTGATGTCGAGAGCGCAATTCGAACAGTTCAATAATTATCTGTAGACAGACTCTCTCAACTCTCAGCATTCGGCCCTTTTCTAGTATTTTTTATCCTCGAACAATCATCATTGTGTCATTCTCGCAATGTTATTATTTTATTGACAAGTAATCATAAAATATATAAATTAATATACAGAATAGCATAAGATATATAAATTAATACATGCGAATAATATACAAATCATATTGACACTATACAGGGTGGCCCATCACTCACTGACAACTTAAATAACTTTTGATCCAGTTAATATTTTTAACTGATTTTTTTTTAAATAATAGTTAAACGTTAGGTCCATAGCTATATCTCAATAATTAATTTTTTTACATTTTATTAAAAATATTAATTATTTTTAAATTTTAAATAAAATGTAAAAAAAAAATCTAAGATAGCTATTTTGTAGAGTAGAATTTAAGAAAAATTTTAGTAAAAAAATATCTGATTAATATTCAGTAGTAAATATTCTGTAGCGTTTTGAAGTTTGTGAAAATTTGAATTTTCATGTATTATTTTACGGTATTAAACATTGAAATACGTATTGAGAAAAGGACAGAAGAAAACGCTATCTTTTCATGATTACTGTGTATACATATGATGATAATGTGTATACATTATAAACTTGGTATTAATACCATGATAAGAAATTAGATAAGGCAATTATTATTTATCACTCTCATTCAAAAGTATATCGAAATCAACTAAAAATATTAACTGGATCAAAAGTTATTTAAGTTGTCAGTGAGTGGTGGGCCACTCTGTATATAGCATTATTATAGTTAGTTTTTATGTATAAGTTTAGGGTATACACTATGTATTTTTTATTATTAAGTTGATATTAAAAAGAGCTGACAAGTATAGTGTATGAATTTTCTTAAAAAAAAACAATCATGTTATTCTAAGATTATGATTATAATTTATAAATAAAAGTGTTAATAATCTTAAATGAAAGATTAAATAAACTACCATTATTGTGGGCACTGTGTTGCGTTTTTAATATGAAAGACAACATCAAATAGTTAAACAGAAAATAAGTCTTTATTAGAAACAATATAATTGTTAATAGTGTGTGTGTCAGTGATCGCACTCAAGAGTAGTGGACAATCCCCACTACTAATTTATATAATATTTATCAATACGTAACACCTCTTTCCTTATAAAATTATAATGCACTTATATTTTAAATAATTACTAACATATAAATAAACGTTGAAATTTGATGAGAGAGTAAGATTTAGCTTATAGTTTATTGTTTATAACCAGATAGATATTCATTCATATAGACAGAGATGTTTACATAGTGTAAAATTACTTGTTGTCATTTGTAGTCGGATGGTGTGATATGCTGAATAGGTTATTTAATTCTAACAAGTCGGGGAGATTTATTGCAGAGCGGTACGGTTGATTCTGTGTGGTCATTGTTGTCTATGTCAGTATTTTCACCTACGAGGGATAACGAACCGCTTGTTTTGTTAAATGGCCAAATTTGGTCGTCGTGTCTTGTCCACGTGGAACCTACATCTAATGTAATTTTGTGTGTTTTGTCACTTATGTTTTCAGTGACAGTAGCTCTTTTCCAGTTTTCTCCTGAGTTTCTATAATCTTTTACTAGTACGCAATCACCCTCTTTTACGTTTATGTTTCTATTCCCCCATATTTTATTTGAGAAATTTGACTGTCTACTACTTCTTCATTAGTGCTGGGTATTAGAAAATCAAATATTTTTCTAGTAGAATACCCTAACATTAACTTAGCTGGCGTCTCGTGTGTTGTTGTATGTGGTGTGTTTCTATGCAACAGCAAAAATTTGTTTAACTGGTTTATAGAGAACGAGCGTTTTTTTAAAAATTGTTTTTACGATTTTGACACCTGATTCAGCGTAACCATTTGATGCAGGATGGAATGGTGCTCCCATTAAATGTCTAATACCTAATTATTTACAGTACTTTTCGAATTCTTGCCACTAAAATATTTCGTACCGTCAGTTGTTATTGTACGCGGAATTCCAAAACGAGCCATCAGCTCTGAACAATAACAGTTTGCGCAGTCATGGAGTTGACCGGAAATGCCTCTAACCATTTTGAAGTTGCGTCTACAAGTATCAATAAAATTTTATTTCTGTGCGGCCCTAAATAATTACAATCTACCCTTGTCCACGGCCTTTGTGACAATCTCCATGGAGTAATTTTTGATTTCGGTGGATTTCGCCTAACGTTTGTACTTTTATAACAATCACGAACCATATTTTAAATGTCCTTGTCAATTGTTGGCCACCAAAGTGCTAAGCCTTTCATACTGGTCATACCTATGTGACACAAGTGTAGTTCAGCTAGGATATTTTTTTGAAATTTTTGGGAATTATAACACGATAACTCCACAATAAACACTCTTGTTCCAAAGTAATTTCATTTTTGCGAATGATATACGGTTTTAACTCGTTGTTAAGTGTGAAATCGTCACTCCATTCATCTGTTTTTGTCGCATGTAGGACTCTAGACTTAATTTAATCTCTATTTATTTCAATTTTAATTTTGGACCAGTCTAATGTAACGGTGAATTTTCATGAATAAAATTTAAATGAATGCTTTTTATCTCCGAATATGTGTATCAATGGTTTATGATCACTAATTAAAGTAAATTTTTTTGCATAGAGAAAATCATAGAATTTTTGAATACCGAATATTATAGCTAGTCCATCTTTTTCTATTTGTGGAAACTTACACTCGGCATCAGATAATATTCGTGAAGCGAAAGCTACTGGTTTTTCGGAATTATCAGGGTACACATGTGATAAAACTGCACCTAGCGCATACGAAGAAGAGTCAACTATTAGTTTAAGTGGTAATTTTTGATCAAAATATTAAAAATTTAGNCATTATAGCTAGTCCATCTTTTTCTATTTGTGGAAACTTACACTCGGCATCAGATAATATTTGTGAAGCGAAAGCTACTGGTTTTTCGGAATTATCAGGGTACACATGTGATAAAACTGCACCTAGCGCATACGAAGAAGAGTCAACTATTAGTTTAAGTGGTAATTTTTGATCAAAATATTAAAAATTTAGTCTATGAACGGTTATCATAGTTATCTTAAAACTCTTACCATTTTTGCACATAGTGGCCAAATGACCTTTTGAATTACATATGTTGCAGTTTTAATCCTTGTATCGACAGTTTCTTTGTAAACGGTTTGAGCGGCCACATACTGCACACTTTGGTTTATCCAATGGTTGACGATTGACCTGTTTATTTTGGTGTAATTGCTTTTGATAGTTGAGTTCCGATTCATGTTGTTTCCAAGTATTTTTTTCCCTTATGGTAGCTTCCTTAGTAGTTACAATGTCCATTAGATTCGCATACGTGGATTTTAGATCAGATGCGTCTTCTTCTATTATTAGCCGGTCTTGTATTTTTCCAGGACTCATTCCTACAACGAATATATCTCATATAACAGTGATTAATTCTCACGAGAATTTGCACTTCGATCCAAGATTTTTGACACGAGCACCCCATTCTGTCACCGATTCATCAGTACGTTGTTTTGCCATGTAAAATGTATGCCTAGCTGCAAAGTATGATTTAACCAGCTTTTAATATTGATTTAGGAGCTTTAACAATGTGCTGTATGTTTGAGTGTCTGGTGTGCTAGGTACACATAAGCTATATAAAATTTTATGAATTTCTTCACTG